AATAGGATTTTACCAGAGACCCTCAGAGATAAGTATGAGATTTTCACAAGTTTGGAGGTGAGAGACAAGAAGAGCTGAACCGGTTCAAGGATTTTCCGCAAGATGTCTCAAAGAGGATTGGTTGGCAACACTGTCACTTACACTATTCTTATTCAAGGATTTTTTCAAGCCGACAAGGTTTAAAGCAGGAAGCAGATGCCTTGTCTAGAAAAATTAAAGAAGATGGGCCTCTCCAAATGACTACATACAGAATGCTAATCCGAGCACCTCTTAGAGATGAGGACAAAGCCGCATCAGCTGAACTCATCAAATAAATGAGACTTGCGGGTTTGCTAGAGATCCTTCAACCTTTGGCTTGGTCACTGATATGTTATATGATGGGAGATTGGACAAAGGTTTCTCGATATGCATAAGAAACACTTCTAATCATCCTTGAGAGAAAAGTTGTGAGGTGAATCAAAAAAATTTTCTGCTGTTCTAATGGCAACTTTTTGCTTAAAATTTTCTGTTGCTGTTTTGTCTGAATTTCATGAAAATGACGATTTCATTTTTGTCCAGGTAGGTTTCAGACAAGAGTTGATTCAAACACTTGTTCACGCAAGATTAGTGCTTAGAACTCAAAGAAGCCCTCTTCAAGAAGATTTCAGATTTTAAAAGATGTTAAGGTTTTAATCGTTTCAGAGTTTTATTTTTTTGGATATCTGGGTAGATTGATTGTAGCATGGAAAATATTCTCCTTTGTAATCTTGAAGTAGTTTTGATATTCGAGTGAAATTAACAGGTAGTATCAATGAAGTTTAAAAATGGACTGCCTCTCTCTGAGGAAGACGAGGTGGAGAAATGAGAATAATTGTCTGTATATTTAGCGAACTCCTCTCAATTTTAAGACATGATGATCAAGCTATAAACTTGTGAAGACTTGTCTGTTGCTATGCATGATGCATGAAGTGCAGATTTTGGTAATTGTTGCTATGATAATTTTCTTATGACAATTACTGTTTTCATGCTTCTGAGGACATACATCGTTTTAGGTACTCTCAAGCGGTCAAAGTGGCATCGTCTTGAAATGCTGAAGTTCGTGCTTTCTCTTTGAAATTCAGGTTATGCTCTTCTCCTTGTGTCTAATCTTTTGTACCATATTCAAGCTAAAAGTTTGACTATTATACACCAACTTAACGCCATGCCTTTATAGATCTTATCTTTATTTCCTTAAGGTGATTAATAAACTTATTTATATATTGAGAATATACTATAGTATATCGAACGTGTTTAATGATACTCACAAGCGAAAACAACAACCTCAAAGAGAAAGTAAAGTGCTTTGGCATGCACCATTTCTCTGATTATTAGAGAAGACAGGAAGCAAAAGAAAAATTTAATGCATAAGCCAAATTGCTTTGTCTATGAATTATACCAATCATTCTGTATGTTCAGAATCGCGACGATCACTTCTAACAGAAGCTTTTCCCTTCTTTCCCCTTGTCCCCCTCGCAGGTGCCTCCGTCGAAGGTTTCTCCTCCACATCGCCTGAGATGTCAAGATGAACACCTGGATCATGAGTCTCGTAATTGGCTCCTATCATTATCGAGTTGTTCACAGCTTGAAAGTTGCTATTAACATAGGTACTCGAGAATTCAAGCTCATGGTCACCTTTCCTGTCTCCATGATTGTTGTCAAGCTCGGTTTTCATGGTGGCTCCTACGTTGGATCCAGAAAGCGTGATGACTCTGATCCCATCCTCATCCTCCTCCTTCTCCCCTTGTCTGTATTGGCTCGGTCCTGCCTTCTCTGCTCCCTTGTAGGTTAACGACGAGATCATGTTCTTAAGCTCGTGTTCGAAATGCTGTTCTCGTATGTGCTTCTTCTCTGCTTCGCCTCTTGACTCGCTTAGCTTCATTCTTTATCTTCAATACTAGAGAACAAGGTATGTAAAAGCAAGTAATGCACGATATACATCTCTATATATATCAGCAAAAGTATTTTCCTTGTATTACAATTAAAGAATTTGATGGAATGACTTACGAGTGGGTTTAAGAATAACTTTTAGAGATTGGCAAAAAAAAAAAAAAATAGTTTTAAGAATCAAGATAGATTTTGGAACAGAGCATAATTTCAGAAGATACATAATAACCTCATCAAGTGAAGCATGAAAGTGACAATCCAAAACTTGAAAATACATTCAATGAAAACCAAAGTGACATGAAAAGATTTACAATGCACAAGATGCTTGTGAAACTTGACACTACATATAGTTTATACCTTATTGGTTCTTATTTGTAAGAAATACATAGTTTGGAAACTTGACAACAGGAGAATGGAGAAGCTTCTCAAGCATGAGCTGGTACGAAACGAGGTTGAAGGGTTTCTCTCGTAGTATTATCATCCCAAGTTAAGTTATTCCACCAGTGTGTTTCTCCTTTAACTTGTTTGACTCTATGAGCGTTACTTGAGCTAATGGGTAGATTGTTGAGAAGATTGCATCTTATCACCTCTACATGTTCTAGAGATTCCCATGACTCTTCTTTTTTAGATAGTCTCTGCAACCGCGGGAGATTTCTCAGCCTTATTACACGTAGAGCAGGTACCACAGATTCAGCGGAAGCTAAAACTTCGCTTGGAGAATAGTCGAACAACTCTTGAAGCATTTCACAAAAGCTAACTTGTAATTCTTGTAGGTTTGGTAGGAAACATATGAGATTCCCTAATGAGAGAAGGCTTCTGAGCCGGCTACAATTGCTGACTTCTAGATGTTTCAATAACTGAAATCTCAACCCCAAATGACCCACGAGCTCGCTAATGGTTTCCATATTAACACGACGTAGATGAAGTTCTTCGATGTTAGGTAAAAGATCAAGCTGCGCGGTGCATCCACCAGCAGGCCTTATACTTCCACCAAAACTCTCTACAGTTAGAGAACTCAACATGTTGAAGCTACTCGTGCTATCGATTACCAAGTTCTCTAGCATCTCATTGAGACCCCAACAATGGTTCATCACTAGAGAGGTTGTATTGGCTAGCAACCACCCAATGAATGCCTCTGAAACATTGAGACTACTTATTGTTACTCTCCGCTTGTCGAGTCTAGTAGGTAAGGAGTTTGCTGTTGGACCAATAAACAATTGAAATTTCTTCAATCTTTTTATCCAAGAACTGTGCTCAGGGGAAAGATGTGGAACAGATACGACCCTGATTGAGAGAGCTGATAAACGATGGAGACACAAAATCTCTTCAAGTGTTGCTTGAGTTTGTCCTTGGACGGTCCAGTGGAAATGACTAAGTGTCATGTCTAGAACCTCTAAACTTGATAACTTTCGGATGACTCCAGCTGGAATTCTTTCGAGGTGATGTGTTCGGGAGAGGTCAAGTAGTCTCAAGCTGATCAAAGTTTCCAACCCTTGTGGTGATTCCTTAATACGAGTGGCACAAAGATCAAGAAGTTGAAGTTTTGTAAGGCCTTCAAGGGAAGGAACTTTATCAAGGTAGTAGCAGTCTCTCAAGATGAGAGATCGGAGTTCATTAAGCTTGTTGAGGGATTCAGGCAATGAACTTATGTGTGTCCCACTTAGATTTAGAATCCGAAGAGCTGGGAAAGATAGCAAGAACTCTTCAGGCAATTCCTTGATGTGAAAATTTCCCTGTAGCAGTAAAGCCGAGAGTTGAACACACTCTACCCCCACTTGATTGGGGAGACTTATAAGCTTATTGTTCATTAAAGAAACTCTTTGGAGAGAAGGAACAAACTTTTCTTGTGGAAACTCTACCAAGCCTATACCAGACATGACAAGAGAGTGACTATCATCTTGCGAGGAAGACATTACCCATATGGCAAAATCACGAACCACATCATGCATCTTAACAGTGCCATCACGAGCACCTTCTTCTAGCAAGCAAGAGTCTTTCAGATTCTCTACCAAAACAATTCCTTGATTCATTAAGTAGCTATGGTTTTCTTTTTCATCTATGAATCCTTCTTCAATCCAGTACCTGACAAGCTCAACTACTTCAATTGAGTAATCCTCCGGAAATAAGGCACAGAAGAGGAAGCAAGATTTCATCTTTCCTTCTAGCGAGTCGTAGCTCAATTTCAAAGGCTGGTAGATCTTTTCTTCAATACCCTTGACACAAGGTACTGCACTCTTGAGTTTCTTGAGAGCATGTTTCCACAACTTGTCCATCTTCTTGCCCCGCATAGCCATTCCAACCGTGATGATAGCCAAAGGCAATCCACCACATTCTCGAGCAACTTTTTTGGCAATGGGTCTAACAAGAACTGATCTGGTTACTTCTCCAGCATTTTGACAAAACAATTCCCAAGCTTCTTCTTCACATAAGCAATCCACCTTGAAATCAATATCCGTTCGTATGCTCTGACAAACCCCTAATAATCTAGAAGTCAAGATAATCTTTGAACCATCTGTTTGTGGAATTCCCAACTGGTCTAAGTCAATGGATTTCCAGACATCATCAAGTATGAGAAGAAAGCTACTTATGTTCTCAAGCTTTCTATAAATCCGTCTTGCTAGATTTTCCTCGGTTTCGCCTAATATGATTTTCACATCCAATCTCTCGGCGATTTGCTTCTGGACCTTTCCCAATGCAAACTCTTTGGAAACAGTTGCCCATATCACCATACCAAAAGGTTGTGTAGCAGCTTCTTTCCATAGCTTATTGTTGAGTTCTCTGACTAGTGTTGTCTTCCCGACTCCACCCATACCCCAAACACCGATCTTTTGAACCTTATCGCTCATCAAACTGTTTATAACTTTGACTACCATCTTTGATGCTACTGTTTGATCAAGAATCGAGGGTCCAAGGATTTTTTCAACTAGTTCAGATTTACCTTCCACAGAGAATATGTGGAGAAGCTCGACGCCTCGCTTCTCAAGCCTCTTGACTTCCTCAAGAATTACCACAAGTTTTTGGCTAAGCCTGCATTTCAAGAACGGAGCACATGAAACACGTCTTTCTTGCATTGAATTTGCTTGGGAGACGGTATCTTCCACGTCTCTTAGCCATCTCTTCAATTGCACATGCAAGGATTTCCTTTTGATTTCCAAGGTTTTGAGGTCTTGATTCACTTTGTTCTCAACTTTCGCAAGACCATTGAGCGCATTCTTCAAAGCATTGATGTTTGACTTGTACCGGATCGTATATATGGTCCGAGTATAAGTTGATCTGCACATACCACGCCCTATATCAGCCAAGATTGTACCCAAGATTCCGCCCAAACAATCCATTATCACAGAGAGAGAGATTAACACGAACAAGAAGGAAGAAAATTTAAAGAATAAACAAAAAATATCCTCTAAGATAAACCAATATGAGGCAACATTGACCTTTTTGAACAAAACTTTGGTGTTGACATTTTATAGTCTCCATAAATAAATAAATAAAACACACACAAGACTTTGATGTTGAGGGATGAAGGTTCGGGTTGGCACTTGAAAGTTTCAAAGAAGTTGCCTTGAAGACTCCTCAATCGAAAAATCAAAGTTAAAAAAGAATTTGTAATTTTGTTCTACGTGTTGCAGAATTTGCGTTATATTATTGTACGATGCTTCTACGAATACGAAGAATGTTTATTCGCCATTTTGTTTTAATTCTACCAAATGTAGAATTTAAGTTCTACTACATGCTTTGTAATCTACTATTTGGCACAATACTCAGTCTACGATTTGCTATAATAACTACCAAATGTAGAATACACATACTACTATTTTTCCTACTTTATACCGCTACCAGAATAGAAATGCTATCATATTTGCTATCTTCTACGAGACGTAGCATATGATTTCTACGAAGTTAATTTTGAAAATTCCCTAAATCTAGGATTTAGGATAGTGAGTATTCTAACATATCTAGTTTCCAAAAAAAAAACTTTAGAAAATATTTTCCACTTTTAACTTATAAAATCATAAATAAGTTACA